TCCCTGAACCCCCAGAACTCCCCAGCCAGCATGCGCTGGCTGGGGAATTCTGGGAGTTGAGGCCCGGACATCTTCAAGGGGCCAAGGTTGAGAAACACGGTTATAGGGAAACGAGGAGGAAGGAATATTAGGTATGTTCTCCACCTTGAGTTACTTATGAAAATAGTAACCGTGTGATATAAATAAAGAAAACACAAATTAAAAAAAACCCTCATCATTCTTTAGAACAAACATATATTATTATCTCTGCATGTGTTACACAAGCTGAACAACAAACAAATCTGAAATTTGTGTATTAACAATCAGGCGAAATAAAATATATATTCCCTTCTTTATAATTCTAATCTAGAAAATAGCAGACACACCTTTCCTGTACTTATCAGGTCTATCCCTCGTGTTAGGGGAATGTAAAGCAGCAACATAAAACCACACTGCTCTTACCCCCCGCCGCCCCCAAATCAAGGACCAGAATTTTAATTGTAAGCCCAAAGAGCCTCCATACTGCTCTAAATCTACCCCTGGAGGGAGAACACTGGGGTGTCATACATCATTGCCCGTCCCTGCGGACTCAAGGGTCGTACCTGGGACCTTTCTTTGTAACTAAGAGACAACTTTAACCCCCTCCCTCCCTTTTCGGTGGCCATCCCTAAGGCTACAAATCAAATCTCAGACGAAGATCTTTCACACAGATAAAAGGAAAAAAAAAGGCCAAGAGCAAAAAGCTGCGGCAAAGTCAGTCTGTCCTGTTGGCTCTAGTACAGTCTTAACATTGTGCGTATGAGTTGTGCGTCTCTCCAAATGGCGGATGGGTGAAGCTCCTAAGATATCGTGCTGAGGCTACAAGTGGGATGGAGGGAAGCTGGCTCCCAGGCCTTGAGAGGCAGAAGAGCCCTACATACTGGCTGCGGTCTTCCCAGGCCCAGACGGGTTTGACCCCTGCTTCAACTTGTAATCTGCCAAGGCGGCCTTGATGGCGTCTTCCGCTAGCACTGGAGGGAAGGAGCGGGAGAGAGAGAGAGAGAAACGGTCAAGAGCTTGGAAACATGGGACGCTCTTTGTTTCCCCTTTGTGGGGAAAACAAAGGGTTCCAGGAACGCAATCGACAGTGAAAACCTTACTCACTTGAGCAGTGCAGTTTCACTGGCGGCAGGCAAAGCTCTTTAGCAATATCTGTATTTTTTATCTTCAAGGCTTCGTCAACCTGAAATTGACCCAAATTGAGAGTTTAGCAAGGCCGAGATAACTCTTTCCCAAGGATCTCGGCTTACAAAGCGTTTCCCGCTTTATTTTACATGAGAATATGCCCCACCAAGGATGAAGGTTCAACAAATGTCCTCGAGGAAGATGGGTGACGGGGCCCGGGACCCTATAATCAGATATGGCCAAGGATTTGAAATGGAGAGCACGTACCGTCTTCCCTTTCACCCACTCCGTCGCCAAAGAACTTGAAGCGATTGCTGACCCGCAGCCAAACGTCTTAAACCTGGCGTCAATGATTTTTCCGTTCTCGTCCACCTCGATCTGAGGGCAGTTACAAAGACCCCCAATTACTTCCACACGACCTATTAGATCTCATCGATTAGGCCTCCTCCGAGTTCCATCTGCTGGTCAATGCCAACTGGCAACTACGCGGAGGAGAGCCTTCTCGGTGGCAGCTCCGACCCTGTGGAACGATCTCCCCGTGGAGATTCGAACCCTCACCTCCCTCCAGACCTTCCGCACAGCCCTCAGAATCTGGCCATCCCGTCAGGCCTGGGGCTAAAGATTGTAACCCGCCCGAATGGTATGAATGTTGTGTTTTAATCATGTATTGTCTTATATGTAAAAAGTCTGTTTTCCCCCCTTTCCTTTTGGATTGTGAGCCGCCCTGAGTCCCCCCAGGGAAAAGGGCGGCATATAAATAAACCTTCTAAATCTAATCTAATCTAATCTAATCTAATCTAATCTAATCTAATCTAATCTAATCTAA